GGGGGGGGGGGGGGGGGGGGGGGGGGGGCACAAAAAAGAGGCAGAAAAGGGAAATCAAATGACAAGTTATCACCTAAAGGAAGTTGTCACCTGGGGAAGTCTGATAGTTGGGAAACCCCTGAAGGAGCTGGAGGTGTATGGCCTCTCAAGACTTCAGGAGGCAATAGAGGTAGATGGCTATTGCTGCCCTCTGAAAGCATGTACAGGTGAAGTTGGAGGGAGCTGGGGGGAACTTTGGTCCTTTCAGGAAGGAGCTGGTATGGAAGTGTGCAGTAGCCCTGTCTGGATCCATGGCGCTTTTAAGTTTGGGTCTGTATTTGTTGTGAAAGCCCTAATCTCTGGCTCATAATTTAGTTTTAGTGTCTAAAGGCCCCAGGGTCATACATGAGAGGTTTAATGGTATGAACCACCTGACATTCACAGTTGCTGCTATGATGTTATTGGCCTTTCTGGAAAAAGGGATAAGTTTGGAATCAAAAGTTATCTGTCCAGGGTTCATTTTTCTGCTCTTTCCCTCCCCCTCGTGCACATGTACAAAGTGATCATCTTCAAAGTACTGTCTTCAAGAGCACAGAACAAGCCGCAAGACTGTTCAGTTCCTGAGGAAACCAAGACACCATTAAATCCCCCAGGTTATTAAAACTATGAACAAAATATAACTTGTGGGTTTTTTGTGCCTCCGGTAGTTCTCAGTCCCATCTTGGTGGGTGAACTGAGTAAATATTCTGCAAGAGATTTTTTGTTTGTTTGCTTGTTTGTTTGTTTGAAATATTTCCAGTTTCATTCGGGGTTTTCACTTCTATCAATGTCATTTTCTTGAAATGGCTGCTGTGGCTTTGTGACCTTAGGCAAATATAGCAAATGTTCTTATACTTAACAGAGTCATTTAAATCAGAATTTCAAATTTTAGAAATAGTTGTTTTCTCTTAAAACAAGAGCCTTCATTTTATTTTCAGAGAAAATGCAACATTGCACATGATGGTCTGAAAAGAACCCAGGCTGTTATCACAAATTGTGAACGAAATAGAAAAGCCTCACTTTCCAGGAGTTTTGAATTTGGCAGCAAATATTTAGCACAGCCATTAATATCCTGTCTGCCTGTCTAACTCATCGCTGTTTGCATTTGTAATTTGCCTTAAACGGTATGACAGAGGTATATAATTTATGTGAGCACTGCATATTTCTGCAATTGGGTACCAGAGGCTTTTAGTTTGGTCCCGTACCATTTGAGGGCAAGGGTTTGACCAAGACTACTGCTAGGCTCCAAGAAATGGTCCGTTCAAAAATGTGTAAGTGGCTTAGGGGTGTAAATCTGAGCAGTGAAAATATTTTGCACCTAAGTCGTTTCTGCTTGTTGTGAAAGTCTCTCTGTCTATATTTTGGCACATTAAAAGTGACCTGATTTTAAGTTCTAAGCATTGAGCAGCCCCTAATGACTTCAGAGGGAGCTTCCAACTGCTCAACCTTTGTGAAAACAAGAGCACTTATTGAGGAACCTGACTAGATGCATGTATTTTTTGGCCATGGAACAGAAGGATGAAAGCTTTATATGCTCTTTGCCTGAGATTACTATAACAGTCTTTGCCAGTAGGTGGGGTGCCAATCCTACTGAAAAAAAAAGAACCTGGGAAACCTCTCCTCTCATCTACGTACTTGCTCCTTGTGCACATACATACCCAAGCTGGCCACATCTGGAAATGTTTGATTTGATATAGTGTCATTTTACATTGCAGAAATGAGCGTAAGCGGTTTTTTAACCCACCAAGTGAGAAATGTGATCTGGGTTTTACTACCGACCCTTTAAATAAAAAACAGATCGCTTATTAAACCATTATCTATCAAGGATATGGAGAGAGTTAGAAATATCCCAGGATCAGAATCAAATTGAAATTGACACGTTTCTGTCTACTGTCTGATGCTAACAGTGCGTTTCATTCCTGGTCGGTGGGGGAAGTTGCATAAGATCAGATCTGAAATCACTTCACCCAGGGAAAAACAAACCCAGAATTTACAAATCCAGAGATATAGGATAAAGAAACACAGCTCATATCCTCTTCTGGTATCTGTGTTTGCTTTGACCATTTCCATATAAGTATGAAGCATTGCCCATAGGAAGTCACTGAAGTGTATGATCATGTGCTGCTTGTTATCCAGATTTGGATCAAATCCCCTCTCATGAACTCCTTGAGCAGTAATAGATCAGGGGACACCAGGTCCATTCCCAGGCTTCTTCTCTTGGAAGACCTGATGTACTGGTGTCTACATCTGCTTTGCAGGCTAACCAAGTCAGTGGAGGAAATTCCTGGCTGGAGTAAATAAGTATGGCTCCAACGACTTCAATGGATTTGCATCCTCTTATGCCAGTGGTGAATTTGGCCCTTTGTGTTTGAAAAGGAATCACAGCTGATCTGGGACTTCATAGAGGCCACTGAAGGGATGCTTACTAACTAGTATAACTAACTCACAGATGCCTGTACTCATATATGACCAAATCTTGCTTCCTGTACTGCTGCAGGGAGATCCCTGCTGGCTTTAATGCAACTATTCATGTGAGCAAGACCAGAAGGATTTGGCTCTCTGTGAATTATGACAGCAGGCATCTGAAAAGAAACTGCGATCAGATTGGAAATGGCGTTTTGCCATCATGTTGCATTTGAAAGCTCACGTTACTTGCGTTGTATTATATTGCATCACACTCAACCAAGCTGATGTGTCATAAGCCGCCTAATGTAACTATACACTGCGTAAATGCAACAGAATGCCTCAGAAAAGTGGAATTTCATGCTCTCCAGCTAACATTTCGGCAAAGATTAAATCCACAGAAAGTAGGTATGTCCAATTGTCCATTTGGATTGGCAAATAATTCATTATCCACATTATCTTTGAAATGTCATTCTGCATTGTAAATCATTAAGACCCTGCTTTAAATGCCATATTTATCAACAGAATGTTTTTAAGGCCAAGTGTGATTTTAGGACCAGTTTACCCAGGTGCACACACTTTTTCTCCTTAAAATTCCTGGAGCTGCCCACATCCATGATCAAAATTCAGCTTTTTGTTTGCTCAGAATAATTGCTTCCCTTTGTAAAAGGAAATGATCAATGGGTGAGCCTGAAGCAGTTCAGAATTTCAATTCCAACCAGCAGGACAGCCACTAGGAGGTTTTCTCAGCTACTCTTGGTTTTGAGATCTCAGCAGAGCCAGCTTTTGGGTCAGAATGCACAAAAGGGACATGCAGGCTAGACCAGACTGGGTAGGGGTCTGAGAGTCAGGGTGTCTAGAGGGCTTCTGTCAGCTCCACCACTCCGTGTATGGGCTTGAGAAAAAATGCTTCCCCTCCCCAGTTTACTCATCTCACAACAGTGCTGTTGGATTTGGATAATTAATGATGGAGTGAAAGCCAGACTAATCTGGAGAGCCCAGAACTTCTTAATGGGGCCATGTGAGAGAACTGGTGAAGTGCCATGGGGATGCAGTCTGATTTGAGTGGGAGTCTCAGAAAGGATTGATCAGTGGAGGGAAGTTTCAGTGCATTGCTGAGGGAGTGTGAATGTTATTCTGCACATCCCAGAGGGGTGGCTGTCTGAGAGGAGTGGTGGTGCAATTAGCTTTTACCAGGCCCAGATGTATTCCTGTGGTACTTTGAATGGGTTAGAAATCCTCCCCAGAAGAGAACTTCCCTTGTACTCCTCAAACCTCGGGCAAAAATGTAAGGACATGCAGTTTGTCTCGCTCTGCCCTAATTGCCTCATCCTGGTCTTTGGCCATTGTCCCCTTCCCTTGGACATGAGTATAGGGAACCTGGCTCCCCGCCTGGTGCCTAGCCACAACTCAGTCTTCTTCATCAAAGATCCAAACCAGGTCTCAGCAGAGTCAATGGGAGTCTTTCCTTTGTGGGTCCAGACACTAGTGCCAGGCAGGTTGCAAGCCTTGCAAAAGGAGAGGTTTACCTGCATGTAGGGAGAGAGATGAACCCAAACCAGATGGCCATGATGCAGTTTTTAAGCCAACTACAAAAAATGCCCAGTAAAGAGACACTTATTTAGGGACTGACCTGGCCAAAGGACAGGTGACTTAGTAGAGTTTCCATACAAACACAAACCTGGTGCTGTCAGCAAGGCTGGTAAAAGGGAAAACTGTTTCCTAGCATCTGCTCTGCGTGTCACATACAGCTTTTCCCAGCACAGACTGACCTTTCCTGAATAGTGATAATCGAAATAACATTTCACCATATTGTAAAATTAGAGACACTCCAGCAACTACTACAAGTGATGTGAGTTTCTCTCTTACCAAGTCAGAGAGGGATTTCTGATCTCTTCTGTGTCGAATCCTTGATTGGCTGTCACCCTTCTTGACATGGCCTGCTGCCTGCAGTGGATTGGCCAGGGGCAGATTTATATCCCCCTGTCACAGCCAATAGAAATATAGTGTTTCTTGAGTCACTGTTTAGTTACAGTGACAGAACCCTGATTGGGTGAAGCCTTGTGATTTATGGGTTTTTGCTGAAGAGTAACTGGATTTTATCAGAACATAATGATGTGGCACTAATGCTCATTGCGAGTCAACATGGCCGACCAGTTTTAAAAGGTCAGCGTTTGACCTTGTCGGTGTTTAAGTAGATCTCATTGTGCTGTATGCAGGCTGGCTTTATATATTCATGGAAAACAAAAGTGCAGCTTTCACTCTGCCAGCCCCCTCTTGCCAAACATTTTTTTTCTTTTGGGTTGATGTAGGTGCTCCAGTCCCTGGCACTGTAATGTGATAGAATTGCTGCTACAACGGTCCTTTACACAGTCCCCAAAGAATGCCAGTTTCTGTTTTTCAGTTTGCAGGAAACTTATGGGTGGGAGTGTGTTACGAAGAACAAGATGGCAGCCAAACAAGCCACTGCATGGCTTTCAGACCCGTGAGTATCTGCCAAAGTTGTTAAGTGGACATATATTGCGTATTTCTTCCTTGTGCAGTTGGAAGAGTGTGTATGTTCATGGATAACTTCTCTTGAATGCAGCTGGGAGTTGTGTACACAGAAAAGCAGAGAGAAAGAAAGAGCATTTCCTGTTGAATTGTTGTTTTCAGTGATGAGCGTGATTCAAAGCCTACTACTGTCTACTGAAGCTGTACAAAATGAACTTCTCTCTGCTGCCAGAAGTGAATCAGTAGGATCTCAGGTCACACTCTGCTCCAGCAGCGTGCAACGCTATGGACTCTTCTTGCCAGTAATGTCATGGTATTACAGGCATCACAAAATAAATGCTGGATTAGTGGGCATGTCTACATGGGATGTTTACTGTGGAGTTGCCTAATTAACTCCAGTAAAACGTCAGCATCTACACATGCGGTACTATTAGGATGGAGTAATCTAATTAACTCTGCCGCAGGATAGTACTGCAAGACACAAGTACTATCCTATGGTGAGTTATTTACTCCACCACAGTGAAAGTATAGATGCTGATGGGGCCGGCTAGGGCATGAGGGTGGTTCAGTGTGGGGCCTGCCTGCTGGCTAGCCTGGCAGTGGAGCACCCTCATGCCCCTGCCAGCCCCTACAGAGCATGCTGAGCTGGGGAGGAGCAGCCCTGAGCTGGCAGGCTGATTCCCCAGTTCCCCATGCTGCAGTCCCAGGTACACATGCAAACAGTTGCCTGAGAGCAATAAACTTTGGCACAAACTGAGCCAGAGTTTATTCAGTTGCCTTAATAGCACATGTAGATGCACCCAGTAAGTAGCGCTCCCTTTCCTACACCAGAGACCAGACTTGTGGGTGCTGGTTTCTGTCAGGGTAGAAAAATCACCAGTAATATTTTAAACAAGACTCTAGTACAGGGATTTCCAAACTGTAGTATGCATACCCCTGAGAGTACGCGAGACATCTCTGGGGGTACACAGGAGAATTTGTGTATTGCAGATTTAATTTTAATTATAATAATTGGCATTTAAAGGGTTGAAATATAAAACGTATGCTGGTAGGGGTACATGGGTAGCTGGTAAATTTGGAAGAGGGTACACAATAAAAAAAAGTTTGGGAACCTATGCTCTAATGTGTACTGTTTTCTTGAATAAGCATTGGGAACCCCAAAAGATATATTCTGAAGTACTGTATAACAAAACTCGATTGTCTTGACCACTGAATTTCAATGGGTTATGGGTGTCTTCTTTCTCCCTTAGGCTTTTTTGCAAACCTCAACCTAAATTTTTCATTAGGTATCACTAGGGATGCTGTCCCAGATGTGCACAGCTGTATCAGTAATGTTTCTGAGCTCACGGGCAGGACATTATTCCTCCAGCTGGTTTGTAAGCTATTGTGTTGCCAAGTAGTCCCAAAAAATCATATATGCTTATAAATCTCAACCTAGCAAATATACCCCAGTACAAAGTTGTTGGATATTTACACCCATACAAATAATGTTACATACTAATGTTTTGAGTCATTTTTATATCACAGAGAAAGGAATAAAATATACGCCTTTCCTCAGAGCATCAATTTGGACAAAATAACATTGTAATTCATGTACATACATAAAATTTTATAGGTATTATTTAATACCCTTTACACTTCAACTCCCATCTGCCTGTGGAACTTGTTTGCTCTTTATGTTCCCA